GGGGGCGGAGGGGGTGTCGTGGGCGCGTCGAGGCGCGCAGTGCCCAGAGCTGGCGGAGCGTCAGCTGGCTCTAGGAGGCGCTGCACCTCCTCAAGCTGCGCCAACTCGCGATCCACCTGTCCACACACAGTCGTGGCGTCACGAAGGGATGCTGCCGGGGGCGAGGGAAGCAGGGCGACGCTCGCGGCCCATACCTCCGCCGCCTCCGCCGCCTCCTCGTCGTCCTCCTCGCCCTCGCCCTCGCCCTCCTCGCCCTCCTCGCCCTCCTCCTCGCCGTCGCCCTCCTCCCCCTCCTCGCCCTCCTCGCCCTCCTCCTCGCCGCTCGTAGCCCCCGCCCCGGCCGCCTCGTGCAGCAGCTCGTGCGCTAGCGCCTCGCCCTGCGCCTGGTCGTCCGCCATCACCGTCTCGAGCCGCGCCACCGCCGCGCACGCCTAGCCTCGGCCGGCCTCGGTGTGCTCCCCTCCTCCCGCGTGCACCCGCGCCACCGCCGCAGCACGCGCCTGCTCGTAGCTGTCGGGCAGCACTACTCCACTACGGCTACCACTGCTGCTGCTTCTACGCGCCTGCTCGTAGCTGTCGGGCAGCACAAGCTGCGGCCGCAGCGCCGCGAGCGTGTCGTGCAGCGCGAAACGCACGTCCACGCTCACCGTCTTGCAAAACAAGTAGCGCGAGAGGTAGACCAGCCACACGTCGAGCCGCCTGCGCCGCCGCGCGGGGGGGGCGTCATGGACGCGTTCATGGACGCGTCCGCCGCGGCACTGGCCGACCCCCGCCACGCCTGCGCGCGAGGCCGCGCGAGAAGAAGCCGCCAACCACGTCGAGCAGCGCGAGCGCCATCCGCAGTCGGCCGCAGTCCGCGGGGCCGTCGAGGAGGGGCTCCCCGTGCCTAACGACTCCTTCCCAAGGGTGAGTGCCCAATGCCTCTTATGCCGTTCAGGAGCGGCGCCCCATGCATGCCGGAGCAGCGGACGCGCCGCCGGCTCGGCGCCGGCCGCCTCTGCGTGGGCCGGCACGTGCGTGATAGGCACGACACGGCCCCACACGCCCGCCTGCTTGGGGCCTCGGACATGTCATGGACGTGTCCTGGACACGGGCACGACGCGGCCCAACACGCCTGCTTGGGGACGAGCCTGTAGAGGATGCGTCTAGGAAGTGTCTGCGGAAGTGTCTGCGGAAGTGTCTGAGGGAGTGTCCTGCTTGGGGACGAGCCAGTAGAGGATGCGCAGGATAGCGCGCGAGTCAAGCAGCCGGTACGCGTACAGCTCGCCAACCAGCCGCACCAGGCAGCCGCGCCGCCGCGACTGCTTGGCGGCGTCGAAGTCGATGCCGGGCCGGTCGATGACCAGGCGCAGCGCCTGACCTCGGCGCGATCTCGGCTCAATCTCGGCTCAATCTCGGTGGGCGGAGGATGGCGCACGATCGCCTCGACGGCACCGTCGACGACGCGCAGCACCGCGGCCTCCTGGAATGGGAGCAAGTGCGAGCAGACTGTCGCGAGCAGCGGGATGGCGTGGAAGCGCACTTCTGCCGCCGACAGCGCGGCGGCGGCGAACCAGCGCCCAACCTCGGGCTCGTCGCGCCAAGGCAGCTTGCGCAGCTGTCGCACCACAACCTCCGCCTGCGTGCGACGTGTGTCGTGACCACGTGTCGTGGACGTGCCCGTGGACAGCGCAGCCGCGGCACCGCGCCGCCGACCATGCCGGCCGCCAACCGCTCGTTCAGGCGTCATCTCGGCTGGCTCTCGGCTGGCTCTCGGCTGGCTCTCGGCTGGCTCTCGGCTGGCTCTCGGCTGGCTCTCGGCTGGCTCTCGGCTGGCTCTCGGCTGGCTCTCGGCTGGCTCTCGGCTGGCTCTCGGCTGGCTCTCGGCTGGCTCTCGGCTGGCTCTCGGCTGGCTCTCGGCTGGCTCTCGGCTGGCTCTCGGCTGGCTCTCGGCTGGCTCTCGGCTGGCTCTCGGCTGGCTCTCGGCTGGCTCTCGGCTGGCTCTCGGCTGGCTCTCGGCTGGCTCTCGGCTGGCTCTCGGCTGGCTCTCGGCATTCATCTCGGCTATACGGACCGTGCCGGCCGTCAGCTGCTCGTGGAGGAGGTGGAGGACGTACCGCTGCAGCGGCGGCAGCTCGGGCGCCGCCCGCGCCTCGATCTCCTCGGCTGGGCGGCAAGCGGCGATGGCAGCGTCGAGCTCGGCGAGCAGGTCGGGAGGGAGGGCGCGGTGGACGGAGCGGAGCTGCGAGAGCGCGCCCAGCATCGCGTCCATCCGCTCGTGGGACGCGGGCGACGCGTGCAGGAAGCGGCCGCACGCCTCACCAGAAGTGCCATGAGGTGTCTAGGGAGTGTGTAGGGAGTGCCTAGGAAGCGCCGTGGGGAGTGTCTGCGAAGTGTCTGGGAAGAGGCGTCAGGCACGCCTCGAGCAACGCGACTACGACGCCGAGCTGCGCCGCCGAGAAGGCGCCAGCGCACGCCTTGAACATTCCAAACACGCTCGGCGGCGAGACCAGTCCGAACCGGACGAGCTCGCCAACGTACGCCGCGTTGCGCAGCCGGGCGGGCAAGTCCTGGGGCGAGGGTGAGGGTGAGGGTGAGCGCGAGGGTGGAGGGTGGAGGGTGGGGGGTTGGGGGTTGGGGGGGTGGGGGGGTGGAGGGTGAGGGTGAGGGTCAGCAACCGGGCGGGCAGGTCCTGCTCGGGCCGCTAGGAAGTGTCTAGGCCGCTAGGAAGTGTCTAGGGAGTGTCTAGGGAGTGTCTAGGGAGTGTCTAGGGAGTGTCTAGGGAGTGTCTAGGGAGTGTCTAGGGCAGGTCCTGCTCGGGCCGCTCCGCGAGCTGCTCGAACTCTGCGGCGACGAGTGACCCAACCTCAGAGCCGACGTGCTTAAAGGCGCCAGAGAGCACGGCGGCGAGGCGCGCGTAGCAGCGAGGCGCGTCCGCCGCGCTGGCAGGCGGCGAGAGGAGGGCCCGCACGAGCGGGCGGCGGGCGGAGCGGAGTCCTCGCATGGTGAGCTCCGAAGCGAGGTCGTCGACCTAGAGTGTGGTGTAGTATAGCATAGCACAGCATAGCACAGTAGGTCGTCCACCTAGAGTGTGCAGTGTAGTATAGCATAGCACAGCATAGCACAGTAGGTCGTCCACCTATAGTGTGCAGTGTAGTGTAGTATAGTACAGCATAGCACAGTGTGGCATGGTATAGTACAGTACAGTCTAGGGTCGTCCACCTCCCGGCGCGAGGAGCAGGAGGGGAGGCGGCGCATCGCCTCCTCGAGGCCGGACGTGTCCGCGTCGCCCTCCTCGGAGAAGAGGACGGCGGGGAGCACCGCGCGCAAGTCGGGGAGCTGCTCGTAGAAGGCGCGCTCCTCCGCGTCCGCGTACAAGCCGCCGCCGCTCTCGCCGTCGTCGGCGTTGGCCGACGTGGAGAGCGACACGACGACGGACTCCTTCTTCTCCTCCTCCTCCTCGCCGGCGGCGGAGAGCGACGGCAGCGGCACACCGAGCGGCTCACCTAAGGAAGAATGACGGAATGCCCTTCCACGCCGTCAATCGTCAGAGGGGCGCCACACCGGGGCTGGCTCGCCCATGGCGCGCGCGGCGGTCAGCACTCGCTCGTGCGCCTTGCGGGCTCGCTCGTGCGCCGCCGCCGCCTCCTCCGACAGCTCGCCTACAGGACACGTCCAGGACACGTCCGAGACAGGTCGTCGAAGTGTCCGCCTCCTCCTCCGACAGCTCACCGCGAGCAAGGAGCGCCTTCTGGTTCGACCGCTCGATCGAGCGCAGCTCGCTGTGCGCCGCAACCAGTCCGTCGCTCACCTGAGGTGGGGGGAGGTGTGGGGAGGTGGGGGGAGGTGTGGGGAGGTGGGGGGAGGTGGGGGGAGGTGTGGGGAGGTGTGGGGAGGTGTGGGGAGGTGTGTGGAGGTGTGGGAGGTGTGGGGAGGTGTGGGGAGGTGTGGGGAGGTGTGGGGAGGTGTGGGGAGGTGTGGGGAGGTGTGGGGAGGTGTGGGGAGGTGTGGGGAGGTGTGGGGAGGTGTGGGGAGGTGTGGGAGGTGTGGGGAGGTGTGGGGAGGTGTGGGGAGGTGTGGGGAGATATGATGACGCCCGTCGCTCACCGTCGAGTAGTACCCATGCAGCAGGCCGAGCAGAGCCCGCTGCTCGGGTGGCGAGAGAGCGCACTCCACCCCCTCGCCGCCCGCCTCGCCGCCCGCCTCGCCGCCCGCCTCGCCGCCCGCCTCGCCGCCCCCGTTGCCTCCGCCGGCCGCGGCGCGGGCAGCGGCGTGCGCGGGCGGCGAGGCTAGCAGCGGCTCGGCAGCGGCATACTTGACAAACGGCTGCAGCACCTGCAGGTTGCCGAAGGGTGCCGGCTCGCCGCTCCTCGTCGCCTCGGCGGCGGAGGCAGTGTCCTCCTCCATGACGTCGCGCAGCGCGCCGAGCGGCCGCTTTGGAGAGGGTAGCACTCCGACTGCAACCAACTCGAAGAGGAGCCGCAGCGCGGACCGCTTGCGCAAGAGCCTCGCCGTCCGCTCCGACTCGCCTGCACGAAAGAAGCACGCTCAGCCGAGCGGAACTCAGCCGCCTCCCGCCGTCCACTCCGGCTCGCCCTCAGACGCCACAGCGGCGCCCGGCCGCGGCGGCGGCGGCGGCAACGCAGTGGCCGCCTTGAGGAGCGGCGGCTCCAGCGCCTGGGTGAAGGTCGCGTAGGTGCGGTGCATCAGCGAGCAGAGCTCGGCCGCGGGAACGACGTCCTTGAGCTTGAGCGGCGCCTGCAGAGGAAGGTTCCGAGAAGCTTCGGGGAGAGTAGCACGAACGTCCTTGAGCTTGAGCGGCGCCTCCGCCACAGCGAGCGCCACCTCCTCGACGTACTTGGACAGGTTGAGCCGAGGGAGCTCGGCGAGCAGCGCGGACCGCTCCCTCTCGTCTCCGAGCTTGACCAGCTTGCGGCGCGCCGCCTCGTACTTCTTCAGGCTCGAGTCGCGCGCCTTTAGCTCGCCCTCGCTGGGGCGCTGTGCGGACAAGTTCAGCTGCCGCAGCTTGAGCCTCGCCTCGAGCGCGGCCGCCGCCTCTGCCGCGCGGGCCGCCTCGGCCTCCGCCGCCTCCCGCTGCCGCGCCTCCTCGGCGCGCCGCGCCTCCTCCTCCGCCGCAGCCACCCGCGCCTTCAGCTCCTGTTCCGCCGCCTGCCTCTCTGCCTCCGCCTTGGCCTTGGCCGCCGCCTCCGCCTTGGCAGCAGCCTCCGCCTTGGCCGCCGACACCTTTGGCGCCTCCGCCCGCCTGTCCGCCGGCGCCGGCGCGGACGCCGTATCGCCGCCCTTGCCGCCACGGCCCCGGCCGCCCTTGCCCCGGCCGCCCTTACCGCCAGCCTTGCCGCCTCTGTCGCCGCCACCGACCGGATCCTCTGAAACTTTGCCCTTGCCCTTGCCCTTGCCCTTGCCCTTGCCCTTGCCCTTCTTCGGCGGGTCGTCCATCTGCAGAGGGGAAGCTGCAGCACTCGCCGATGGCCTCTGAATTACCCTCGAGAGCAACTCTGCGAACCTCCCAGGCGAGGCCCGCTGCGAGGCTTGGGCTGAGGCAGGAGCAGGCGGTGCCGCTGCCCGGTCCGCTCGGTGTGAATGCTCGCAACATGCGTGTCGCGCACTCATTCATGACCGGTCTCAATGCCCCACCCCCCTGCGCGCGGGCCTTCTAGGCCCGCGGGTAGTCTCCCCCCATTCCCAGGGCCTCCAGGGCTCGCACCTCAACCTCTCACAGGCCCCCCGGGGCCAGCGCACAGCGCCATAGGAGGTATTTTCTTCTCAATAACAAGGCTGTGAATTGGAGGTATTTTCTTCTCAATAACAAGGCTGTGAATGCTCGCAACATGCGTGTCGCGCACTCATTCATGACCGGTCTCAATGCCCCACCCCCCTGCGCGCGGGCCTTCTAGGCCCGCGGGTAGTCTCCCCCCATTCCCAGGGCCTCCAGGGCTCGCACCTCAACCTCTCACAGACCAGCGCACAGCGCCATAGGACGTATTTTCTTCTCCATAACAAGGCTGTGAAATACAGATTCGTTCGAGGTTGAGACACGTTTCGAGACACTTGAGACTACTTTGAGACACCTTCGCGCTAGCCCCTGCTCAGTTCGCTGCACGTCTCGTCTCTCTTGGCGGGGCGAGGGGCGGAGTGAGAGGCTCCTGTGCACGCGGCGAGAGGCGCTGTCGTCATGCAGGAGCCGGCGCGTCGAGCAGGGCCAGCACCGGCAGCGCGGCCGTCAACAAGGTAGCGACAAGGAAGAGAGCGGCGCTTTCGGCACAGGGCTGACGAAGAGAAAAGACGCCGGCGGCGGGCGGAGGCGATCAAGGCGCGACGAGGGCCAGGTCACGGCGACCTCGCACGGGCCGGCGAGGGGAGAGGATCTGGCTGGCGCACGGCGATAGGTGGTCGGCGAGCGTTGAGCACTCTGTGGCCAGACTCAGATGCTTACAAGACGGTGTCGGGCACCGACGCAGGAGCACATCTGGCGCAGTCAGTGTGACGGCCGCGGTAGTTGCAACTTTCCCACGAGAAGCAGCTACTCTGGCACAGCGTTGGCAGATGAGATGCCGGACCAGTATTTGCAGATGCGAGAGTATGTCAAAGCTGTCATCAAGACTTGGGAAGGTACGCAACTGAACTTTGGCATGCTCAACGTCTCTTCTCTCACCTGGCTCCGGCCGGATGCGCATCCCGGCCCGGGTGCACCTCACTCCAATTCGTCCAGCGGAAGAATTGTGGTGGACTGTTCGCATTACAAGATTGCCGCTGGCGGCGTTCCTGACACCTGGGTTCCGCGGACTCGCAGCGGTACTTGAGGCACGCACTCAAAACCGCAGCGGTACGTACTTGCGGCACGCACCGTAATCGCATGCACGCGCGCAAAAGGGTGTTTCCCCCCCGGTATTTGGGGCGTTTCCCCCCCGGTATTAATTGGTTGTATCACTACCGTATTTGCTGTGTATCTGTCAGTATTTGCATTTGTACGTACTTTTAGCTTAATGGGAGAATCTCTCATTTGTATTAGTCTATACATGCAGAGAGACACCCGCCGAGTCGCCAAAGTCTCCACCCGAGCTCGCCGCCGCTGCACCACCACTGCCGTCACCCGTGCAGAACGAAGCCACCGAACGCAACGGCACTGGACAAGAGGCCACCGTCGGCACCGTGCCACCCGGCTGCCTCGAAGCTCTCTCAAACCAGCCCGCCGGCGCCTCGATGCCGCCCGAGTGCCTCGCCGCCGCCGCCACCCCGCCGCCGCCGCCTCCCGACGGAGACGCTATGGAACTCGACCACCTCGACACGCCCTCCCTGCCTCCCTCGCCACCGCACGCAGACGATCGCGTGCCAGGCAGCGACGAAGACGAGGATGACGACGACGACGACGACGACGGCAGCGAGCCGCCCGAGCAGCGACCAGCAGACCAGGCCGCCCTCGCCGCCGCCCTCGCCGAGATTGCTCCCGCCCAACACCTCAGCTTTCTTCCCGACAGCGGAACGCCCGCCGCTCAAGCCGCCGCCCTCCGGATGCCTCCAGCCCCCGCCGGCCCCCCAATGCCGCCCACGCCGCCCTCCTTCCCCCCGCCCACCGACGCCGCCACGCTCGCCGCCCTCGCCGCCGTGGCCGACACCGTCACCGCCGCCGCCGCCGAAACCAACGAAGGAAAGTTCAAGTGCCTCGTTTGCGAACTCGACTTTGGGAATAAGAAGAGCTCGGCGGCCCAACTTCTTCGACACTTTACGAATGAGCACCCCAATGCGACCGACGCCGAATTGGCCTCCTCGGCGCTCACCAAGTGCGTGGCGTGCGACAAACTTGCGTGCGTCATCGTCACGGGAGGCAACCAACGGAGCAACTTCTTCAATCATTACGTCAGTAACAGGAACCAGCGTCAACACCAACAACGCGCGGGCGCCGGACACACCCCGACCGCCGACTGCAACGCCGCCGCCGCTTGGGTCCGTGAGCACGCCCCTCCCCGGTCCCCCGGCTCGTACGTCACCCACGCCGTCGGCACCAACTCCGCCGCCAGCCGGATCCAGCAGGCCCGCCACCTCGACGACGTCCCCGGCGCCGCCCGCATACAGAGAGCAGCGGTCGCCGCGTTACACAACGCGTGCGGCAACCCTCTCAAACTCAACACGACTCCGGCCGCCGACTTTAACCTTTGCTTCACCGACGGCATCTCGCTCGAGGCCTTCAAACGATTGCAACTGCATGACCTCGGGCGAGTACCGAGACCTGTGCCGGGCGCCAATCCTCTTTGGCATGGAGGCGTTTGCCAGCACGCCGCGGAAGCCGGGCACCCTCGATGGTGCACGTGGAGCCTGCTACGCCGTCGTGTCCGCCGTGCTCATCACCTGGGTGCACTCGCTCCGCGCCGTGCAAGCCGAGCAGGACAGCGAGTACTCGTCCGACGAGGACGAGTGCACGTCCGACCAGGACGACCGCGGGCCCGCGTACGAGTCCGACGACGACGATGGTTACGACCGCATAGCAAACGACGACCTCGATGCGCTCATGCGCTGCTTTGACGACGAACGAAGATGCCGCGCTTATCGCGCTCGCGCGTCACCTCGAGTCCCTTCCCACTGCTTGATCCAACCCTTGGCCCTCTGATGTCCAATGCAGCACATGCACTCTTGGTGTGTGTGCTGTGTGCCCTCCTTGTCTTTGCAGTAGACCGTGTGAGGTAACACCTACCTACCTACCTACCTACCTCTGACGTGTCATCGATCGCTGCGTACACCCCCCTCTGTGTCCGACCCCTTTTGCGCAGCAACACCTTAAACTTTTTAGGCCCTCCAAATTCGGGTCGGAGCGTAGCGGAGTGGGCCCCGAGTTTGAAAAGGGCGACGGACGCTTGCGTCCTAGCCTCCAACAACGCCTCCCCGGCGCAGAGGGGCCCCCGGAGGGATGCGCAACCGCTCCACGCCACGCCGCTTGCGGCGGTCCTATTCCCAGCTCCGCTGAGGGCCCGTGCGTTATAGGAAGGGGCAACCACTATGTGGTGTGCCAACCCCTATGAGCTATGTGGTGCGGCGGCGCAGAGTGCGCCGGAACGGTGGAGAAAACGGCGCACTTTTGCGCCGACCGTAAAAAGCACGACAAAATACGTACTGGCTGGTGGATCACCATGGAGCGATCATGCACATGCGATATATGCCTTATGCGCATCCGATTTTGTGCTGCTGACGCTCGCTGCTGCCGCCGTCGTCGCGCGCTCCGCGCTCGCAGATCCAAAACAAGAGCGAGGGAAATGGGTTCCCCATCGGATCCTCGGCTAATCTCGGGGCGCGCGCGCACTGCGGCCGTTATTTCCAGCCCACTACTTCTCTTCCACCTGGTGGTGCGATGGGCTCCCTCCCGCGTGTCAGCTCGCTGCCAGCCCTCTGTAGCATCAGGTGCAAAGGAAAGAGTGGGCTGCGTTATTTCGAATTAAAAGAATTCCGGCTGCGAACTTAGCCCGTGATGAGTTCGACGGAGGCGGGCTGCGGCTTCTGCAGCATGGTATCACGCTGACTTGTACTAAATTGCCGCGTAAATCTCGCATCATTTCTTTTGTGAGGGGGGGGGGGGGAAATTCCCTTCCCGAGGAAACGCTCACAGTGTGAGCGACCGTCACATCTACCGTCACACTTGCAACAATAACGATTAGGTGCGAAGATCCTTTACTACAGCAACGCAACTCACGACCCCTGGGGTGAATGGTTTCATCGTGTACACAGAGAGTATCTGCAGCCTATGATGTACCTTCCATCCACGTAGGGTGGCTCGTAATTTGGCTCTCTCGATGTACACACTCCAAACACTCCAAGCATACATTGCGGGGCTCCTCCTCCTCTACACACTACACTATGCGTGGGGGTCCAAGGGAAGTAAGCTCCCCTCACTCATTACTCATGGGCTAGGTAGGAGCCAACCCCTACTCGAGCGGTAGCCCTTACCGTCCGATTCCTTAATTATTGGACAAATAATGCACAGCCATATAACCCATATGAAGAATTTTACCAAGAAAAAACAAGAAAATCAACGCGCAACGGAGCAGCGTGAGCAGGCTGCAGGGGGAGGAACAGAATGAAAGAAAGAAGGAAACGGACACGCCATCTTTTACACTTTTAGGAACACACGGAACACGGGGACGGGACTGGCGCTGGCCGACTAACACAGGTACACCACGGGAGCCGCCCTACGGGAGTCAGTGTGCACAGTACTAGCCCAACAGCGGGGCGACCGCCCTCTCCAGGTAGGTTTGCTGCCCATTGGCTGTCGCGAAGCCGTCCCACTCGTAGAATGGAACGCTGATCACCCTCCAGCCAGCCGCCCTGAGGAGGCGCCGCTTGAGCAGCGTTGGCCCATTGGGTTTGCGCACGCCCCGGCCGTCGGGCAGCAGGAAGTGAGAGGGGCCGTCCACCTCGATCGCGACGCGTGACGAGGGCAGCGCCAGGTCGAGCGAGTAGCCGGTGCGCGGCTCGAGATGCTCCTCCTCGAAGCCGTGCTGGACGGCGGCGAGGGCAGCCGCGACGGAGCGCTGTAAGCGCGAGATCGTAACTTCGGTGCCTTGCATGGCGTCGCAGCAGAGCTTGCGCTGGGACGCGGAGAGGAGGTGCTGCTGCGCGTCTGCTCCTCGCTCCAGGGAGAGCCAGAGCTGCCACTGGTGAAGCTGACGGCGGGCTTCCTCGCTCCATATCGAGGGATCCCGCGCGAGCGAGTCGCTGATCACGCGCGAGCAGTCGGCAAACAGCGCCTGGTGATAACAGTCTGCCGTCGCATACGCCCACACCGTGTTGGACAGGTCCTGAGGGGTGAAGCCAGCCAGCCCGCTCCGCACCGCCGCCTCCGCCACCGCCGCGTACAGCGCGTCCGCAGCCACGCCCGCCGTCGCATATGCCCACACCGTGTTGGCCAGGGCCTGAGGGGTGAAGCCAGCCAGCCCGCCGCGCACCGCCGCCTCCGCCACCGCCGCGTACAGCGCATCCGCAGCCACGCCCGCCGTCGCATACGCCCACACCGTGTTGGCCAGGTCCTGAGGGGTGAAGCCAGCCAGCCCGCCGCGCACCGCCGCCTCCGCCACCGCCGCGTACAGCGCGTCCGCAGCCACGCCCGCCGTCGCGTACGCCCACACCGTGTTGGCCAGGGCCTGAGGGTTGAAGCCAGCCAGCCCGCCGCGCACCGCCTCCTCCGCCACCGCCGCGTACAGCGCGTCCGCAGCCACGCCCGCCGTCGCATACGCCCACACCGTGTTGGCCAGGTTCTGAGGGTTGAAGCCAGCCAGCCCGCCGCGCACCGCCGCCTCCGCCACCGCCGCGTACAGCGCGTCCGCAGCCACGCCCGCCGTCGCGTACGCCCACACCGTGTTGGCCAGGTCCTGAGGGTTGAAGCCAGCCAGCCCGCCGCGCACCGCCGCCTCCGCCACCGCCACCGCCGCGTACAGCGCGTCCGCAGCCACGCCCGCCGTCGCATATGCCCACACCGTGTTGGACAGGTTCTGAGGGGTGAAGCCAGCCAGCCCGCCGCGCACCGCCTCCTCCGCCACCGCCGCGTACAGCGCGTCCGCAGCCACGCCCGCCGTCGCATACGCCCACACCGTGTTGGCCAGCTCCTGCGGCTTGAAGCCAGCCAGCCCGCCGCGCACCGCCTCCTCCGCCACCGCCGCGTACAGCGCGTCCGCAGCCACGCCCGCCGTCGCATACGCCCACACCGTGTTGGCCAGCTCCTGCGGCTTGAAGCCAGCCAGCCCGCCGCGCACCGCCTCCTCCGCCACCGCCGCGTACAGCGCGTCCGCAGCCACGCCCGCCGTCGCATACGCCCACACCGTGTTGGCCAGCTCCTGCGGCTTGAAGCCAGCCAGCCCGCCGCGCACCGCCTCCTCCGCCACCGCTACGAACAACGGGTGCACCACCCTCGCTTGCAGGCCGCACTTTGCAACGCCGTGAGACACGTTGGCCAGCTCGCGTGCTCGGCACGAAGAAACCAGGTCGAGCGTGCGCTGCACCAGCTTCTCAAGCTGCCCCTCGTGCCGCCGCTCGATGCGCTGCTTGCCCAGTTTGTTCCACAGGTTCGCAGCGTGGATGTGGTTCAAGCTCGCGCTGTGGGCAGCAAAGAGCGTGAGCAGAGCGTCGGCGCCGCTGGCATGCGAGATATGGCCGCTGAGCTGCTTAGCATTGAGCTGACCACCGGCAGCGGAGGTGTGCCTCTCGTCGCGCGATCCCGCACCACGCATCGGCGGACTCAACCGGCGGTCGCTGTGCTGAGGCTGCCCCTCGCCGCGGCGGTCGCGCCGGTCATGGTCGCGCCTGGGATCGTGGGACCGATCATCGCGCCGATCGTACATGTCGCGCTCGCGCTCGCCTATGCTTGGTCGGTCGTTGCAGCCGCGCCGCTCAACGTGCCGCCCGTCATGATGCGGCCATCGCTCGCCTCGCAATGGCTCGTCGCGCCATCGCTCGGCGGCGTGTGGCTCAGCGTGCCGTCGCTGCTCGCGGCCACTGCACCAAGAGTCGTCGTAGCCGCGCCGCTCGTCATGCCGCCCATCATGGTGCCGCCATTGCCAACGCTCGTCGCGCCGTCGCAGCTCATCCCGCCGCGGCTCATCGCGCGATCGCGACCGCCGTCGCGGCTCGCCCCGCCATCGCCGCTCTTCGCGTCCGTACTCGGCGCGCCGTTGCTCAACACGCCAGCGACGCTCCTCGCCCTTGGGACATGCGTACCAGGATTCCAACTTTTTGCGGGGTAAGGTATGGTATTTCGGCGCCAAAAGGGTGGGGGGGTATGGTCCTGGCCGCCGGAGGCGGCCTGCTCGACGGGTGGGGGGGTTTTGTCAATCGGATCGGCCACGTTCAACAGGGTTCGAACCCAGTACACAGCCGCCGTACACAGCCGCGGACACGATGCCGACTCACGGCGGCCGCTTCGATACTGTCGCGGGCCTTCTCGCCGCGACGCCGCCTCAACTTCGGCTCCTGGACAGCTCGCTGCCCGACGACGCCGAGCGCGCCGCTGTGCGCAGCTGCTGCGCTGGTACGCTTGCGTCGTGCGTCGCACAGCTCGACGCTGCGATTGCACCGCATGCCGTCCGCATGATGGACGGGAGGCTTCCGACAAGCGACGCTTTCCGTGGCGACGACCACGATCTCAGCAAGCTGAAGGCGCTCAAAACTGTCGCCACGATGGTCCTGCAGGACGGACCGTGCTCTATCGCGAGGCCTGCGCGAGTCTCGTCCACGCGCGCTCCACCTTCTTCTCGGACCTCAACGCGGCGCTCGATGCCGATGTCTTTGATTCTGCCTTTCGATTCAAATCGCCGTCGTGGCTCGCGAAGCGCGCGGGGCATGAGCTGTTGGCGCGCGTACCGCTCGTGCGCGTGCCTTTGGCCAGCTATGGCGCGGAGGGCGGCGTGCGATGGCGGAGGCGGAGGTGGCGCCAGCGGAGGCGGCGGAGGCGGAGGCCGTTCCAGCGGAGGTGACCATGGTTCCAGCGGAGGTGACCATGGCGGAGGCGGCGCCGGCGGAGACCGCGCCCGCGCCCGCGCCCGAGGTGACCATGGCGGAGGCGGCGCCGGCGGAGACCGCGCCCGCGCCCGCGCCCGCGCTCGCACCGGCCGCGCCCGCGCCTGCGCC